AAGAAACACAAACCAAAAAACAGAAACAAAGCCTTTTCCTAACAGATTAAAGAGAGTAATGACCAATTTTTGTCTACTATCGCTAGAGAAGTGGTAATAGATGGTTTTAGTCCAAAGACTAGCTTCAATGAGCTCAACCTTTTTGACGCCAATGCTGCAAACCAAATTGTAGTTTCAAAGACCCCCTCCTATCATAGGAGGAAAAGATATCAACTGAAATTTGAATTTTTCAACACTGACATTCTGAATCTCAATGCTACCATGTTTTAATATTAAAATTCTTAATCTGATATTAATGTTTTTATAATATCCTTACTTGTCATTTCCCCATAATATTATCCCTGAGGTATTAATTACATTCTTTTAATATTACCCTTAATTAAACCCATTAATGATGAGATAATGTAATTTAAATTTGAATTTCCTTTCATTTAAATAAGGGTAAAATTAAAAGTTTATTTTTTTTTTGACAAAGTTAAGACTGGACTACTTTTCTTAAATTCTAGTAAGATGGTTAAAGTAGAGGTATCTTATAATAAGAATCTAAGAAAATGTATTATTAAAGTATGTATATTTAACAGAAGCAAAGCTATAAACTTATTAAAATTTAAAAAAAAAATTTATAAATTTTAAGGTTTTTATTGATTTAGACAAAAATATGTTGAAAGTGTGTATAAATAAAACTACGGCAGTACCACACAACCTTGTTAGGCCTTGATAAATAATTATATTTTGTGTTTGGATAGGGAGAAAAATGGATATAGAAGGGGAAAAAAGTAGGCAGAAAATGTTTTCACTCCTTATATTTTAATATTTATTTAGATGAATTGGAGAAAAATCAAAGGGAAAAAAAGAATAATTTGTGCTAATTTTTTAGTGTAATTATTGAAATTAAAAACTCAAGTATACTCCCTCTGACCTTACATATAAGAGATTTTTTAAAATTTTTTTTCCTAAATATAAGAGATTATTAGAATATTTTTTTTAATGAATAGACCATTATACTCTTATTAAATTGTAAAGAAAAAAGATAAGTACTCCCATTAATTTACTTTAAAAAAAGATTTATTTTTTTATTTACAATAATTAGGGACAAAATTGAAATGTCACTGTACTTTTAATTAAGGAACCAACTTTTTTTAGTTTGCGTGATTCAATTAAAAATATCTTATATATAAGGATGAAGGGAGTAAGTAGCACTATGGTAATCATAACTATTATATAGTACTTAATAATAGTTTTGTTATTACTCCCTTTATCTCTATATATAAGAGGTCTTCTATGTCTTTTTTGCTCCTTAAATATAAAAGATTATTATCATATTTTTAATGAACGAACCATTATACCCTTCTTAAATTGAAAAAAAAAAGTATTTTCATTAATTTATTTTAAAAATATTTATTTTTTATTTATAATAATTAAAAATAAAATTAAAATATTGTCAAGATTTTAATTAGATAATTATATTTTATTAATTTTTATAATTTACATAAAAATATTTTATAAATAAAAACGGAGGGAGTAAGTTGGTAATAAAAATTGAGCCAAAAAGATAAAATTAAAATTCCTGGAGAAATTAAATTTCAACGTCATAGCCTCATAGGATGTAGAGACAAATCTAGATATGTTATATTCCAAGTGACAAAAGGAACCTCCATATTGGGAGCAGCAGTCACTATCCAAATCCACCGGCCAAATGCGCAAAAATTATTAATGAGAACTAAACCGACAGGGAAGCATTGGCAATATATGTAATTCTCTCTCTCTCTCTCTCTCTCTCTCTCTCTCTCTCTCTCTCTCTCTCTCTCTCTCTCTCTATTTAGACGGCCTTTTTTTTTTTTTTTTCAATACATTCCTGTTATATGTCCCCCATTGATAAAGGCCTTTTCTTTTTGTTACTTGGGGTATTTTTTTTAAAAGAAAATTGGTACTTACAAATTTTTAATTTATACTAATGATAGTTAAAATTTTAAAAATTATAATTTCTTCTGAATAATCATACAAGAATAGACTATTCATTCTTTTTAAATTATTAACTATTATTCATTTATCCTTAAAAGTCATAACCTAATTTCTCAAATGTTACAACGGCTTTTACCCTTTTAGAAGTGGTAACAAATTTAGTTTACAAAGGTAGTTGCATAGGGTAAGGGTGGCTTAATTTTTCTTAAATATGGTTGAGGAATAAAGCTTTATTGATGAAAACAAATTAGTTTGTGGGTAGGAGTAAAAATAGGTCAAGTTCTTATCAAAAGCTTGTAACTTAACTTACTTGTTGCTCCAGTATTTTACTTATTCTTCAGAAGTTTGGTTTTCTAAGTTCAAACGACAGTAGAATAGACCTACTATGATTTTCGGCCCATACTTTGTTTATCACTCCAAACACAATCCAACAAATGTTAAAAAAATTATTTGCACATGTTATATGAAGAGGTTTTTTTTTCTTTTTTGTTTTTTTTTTTTGAGTTGGCAAATGTTGAAACATTTGCAGGCGCAGTTCGAACCCGCGAACTAAGGCATCACAAGGATGCTGCTATAACAGCTGAACCCAAGGTCCCCGGCATGAAGAGGTTTTTTTTATTAAAAATATTGTGCATAGAACTAGATTGTGTGCACGTAGACTAAGTTCAATTGCATTGTTCATAGTTTATGGATATTATCATCAAAAAAGCAAAACACACTTTGTTGAAATTATTTTAAAGTATTAATAAAAAAATTGGCTTCAAACTACAGTAATTTTTCTAGACAATCTATACTTTTTAGTACTTAGATTTCTTAAAACAACTTTAAAATTCAAAATATCAGTATCAATATTAGTACCGTCAAGGAACATCCAACATCAATCGTCATCAATATCTTTAAATATAAAATTTTAGTATACACCATCATTTCACAAACCATGTCACTTTATTAACAATTATTAAAAAAAATAAAAATAAGTCTTTATACTTTGATTGCATTTTTTTAGTTCTAATAATCTTACTTTGTTGTTTTCCATCTTTTTAGTTTGATTAGTCTGTAATGTTAGCCTTTATAATTTTAAAAATACACATAAGGACCATGAGCTAATTCTGACAAAGTTAATTTTGCTGCCATATATTTCATCATCTCAACTCTTCTGCTTACGTGTATTTAATCTCACTTTCGTCCCTTATTTATATATGTTTGAGCCAAGTATAAAATATTTTTTTCCTATTTACCATTTATTTTTTAATCATACATCAATGTATTTTGATGTCATCAATATATTTTTACCATGTTAGCAAGGAGATTAGTATAGTTACAGCAAAATTACTTCCATAAGTACCATCTCATGGTCTTTTATATGCATTTTTTTTTAAAATTAATTTTTTAATCCTTTAATTTTTAACTTATTTGTAATTAAGTTTTTCAATTATAACTTATTGCAGCTCAATTCCTAAACTTTTGAACGCACCTATAACTTAGTGTGCGTTTTCAGTTTGTCAAACGTTCATTTGGTAAAAGTTCATTTAGTGAAAGTCAGTTTAGTGAAAGTTAGTTGTTGTAATGAAATTTGTGTTTGGATATATTTTTTCAAAAGTTAGTTTGATACATTGAAAGTTGTTTGGTTTATAATAGTGAAATGTGCTTTTGAGTGTACAATTACCAAAAAAGACATTAATTTATAATGATTTATAATTTTTATTATACAAATGTAATATATTTAAAATATTTAAAAAATATAATAAAGATTTTAAATAACACAAATTTTGATCTATAATGCTAAAAATTTGATCTCTAGTTATTTGTATTTTTTAATTTATAATTTTAAAAGATGTAATAAAGATTTGTAATTTTTAATATACATTAATGCTAAAAATTAATATGATTAATTATTCAATTTATAATAATAAAAAAATTGATACCTAATTATTATTATTAAAATAATAATTATATTTTTAATGAATTAATTATTTTTTAAATAAAAGAATAAGAGATTAAACTTAGGGTAGTATGGTCAAATAACATCCTACTTTTCAAATTCACTTTTCAAAAGTTTTAAATAGTTACATTTCAGAAATCCACTTTCAGCTACTGTTTGAATGTACTTTCAGGATGTGCTTTCCTGCGAAATATTTTACCCAAACAACTTTTAACTTTCTAAAAGTATAATTTTGCTTTCTGAACATGAAACGGAGGAAAACCAAACGGGACCTTTAATCTTTCAATTTTTTTCTTTCTTTTATCATGTTAGCTTAGATCTTATGTCAAAGAATAAAAGGAGGATATTTTAAAATAAGACATGAGCATTTTGTTTATCTCTCTTATTTGATAAGGATATTTTTTAAAAAAAATTAGAAAAATAAGGACTAAATTATTAGTTGGTCAAAAGTTGAGAGATTAAATTGTAACAAATCATAATTAAGGGACTAAATCATAGTGAGTCATACTTGATAGACTAAGTTATAAGTAAGTTAAAAATTGAAGAATTAAAAAATTAATTTAAAAAAAATAGAAGAACTAACATCACAGTTTGATCAAATTAAAAGAACAAAAACAATGAAATAAAACTATAAAATCTAAAACAAAACACAATTAAATTTCAGAGACATATTATTGTTTTCTCTCTACAAAAAAGTTCTACCTATTTTTAAAAATCAATTCATTTAAGTCTTTTCATTGTAATTTTTCCATTTGTTCTCCATTGGTATGAAAAAGCAACCCGTCTGGCCCCCAGCGTTTTCGGAGTTCTGTTCCTTAAAGGTTCTAACTGTTGTTGATCTTGCTAGTTATAAAAAAAAAAAAAAGAAGAAAGAAGAAAAAGAAAAAGAAAAATATAATCATTTATCCCCTACTCTTGTTAGATTTTACGTCTTGTCCTAGGTACTCAGTTGTTATTTTTTGTTAAAAAAAGACGTTGGCGATGAACGACGTCTGCGGCAAATAATAATCGTCTTTGAAGGCATAAAATTTGAACTCTACAGTTCTGTACAACATTATTACACAGCCTAAGGGCAAGACAAGAAGAACAACACATACACGAGAAACAACCTTCACAACTTTGCAGCAAGTGATTCTGCAGAGTGGAAGAACACATATCTGAACAAAATACACATGAAACAGAACAGTGCATCAAATTACATTCCAAAACCAAATTCAAAGAAACATAAACCATATCTTCTGGTGTGTGTATTTGTGTGTGTGTATATATATATATTGTTGCTGATGCTAGCTAGTGCTTCTAGCTACTGCTCGCCTCCTTCCCAAGCCCACACTATATCCTTCAATGAAGGCTTCAAGCTCTGATCCCTAAACTGAATATACTCAAACGTATCTCCTGCAGTTTTCTTCACCTCCACAACATGAAACGATGACGTCACCTCAAATATCTCTGCATCGATTCCAAGTGTTCCTTTCCTACCTGATTTGCTTCCCTCCAATCTCACTTTCCCATCTTTCTTCACAACCTTGAATCTGCTCTCTGCTTCTGCTATTTCTTCCAGTTTCGACACAATTTTCGAGGCCGGCTGAGTTGTGGTGAATCTAGCTTGTTGCCTCCGACGCTTGTCTTCCTCAAACAAACCAGAGAGATCAAATCCTGAAGATAGAGATATTATATCAAACGCATTGAAGAAAGATGGCTTCACTTTCATTGTGTTTTCGTGGGTTTCTTCCTTTGATGGGCTTGATGATGAAGAATCAAAAGCAGCTTGAACGTCAATTACAGGGTTGGAAACTGGTGATTTGGGTGGTTCAATCTGCTGATACCCAACTTTAAACCAGCCATTTTCCATAATCTTAGCAATACTCACTCTTGTTCTTGGATTTGGATCGAGAATTCTGGTGATAACCCTTCTAGCTTGGGGTTGGAACCATTTGGGGCACTTGAAATCCGCAGTATTAATTTTCCGATACATTTCAATTAGATTTTTATCCTGAAATGGAAGAAAACCTGCAAGAAGAACAAACAGAACAACCCCACAAGACCATATATCAGCTTTTGCTCCATCATAACCTTTCTTGTTGAGCACTTCAGGGGCTACATATGCAGGTGTTCCACACGTTGTGTACAGAAGACCATCGTTCTTTCTGGGTTCGTACAAAGCACTCAACCCAAAATCCGAAATCTTCAGATCCCCATTTTCGTCCAGAAGCAGGTTCTCCGGTTTCAGATCTCGATGATACACCCCTCGGCTATGGCAGAAATCGACGGCGCCGATTAGCTGTTGGAAGTACTTTCGCGCCAAATCCTCCTTCAATTTCCCTTTGGCCACTTTGGCGAAGAGCTCGCCGCCTTTGACGTACTCCATTGCGAAGTAGATTTTGGTTTTGCTGGCCATTACTTCGTAGAGCTGGACGATGTTGGGGTGCCTTACGAGGCGCATCACGGAGATCTCGCGCTTGATTTGGTCGATCAAGCCGATTCGGAGAATCTTCTGCTTGTTGATGACTTTAATGGCGACGCTCTCGTTGGTTTTGATGTTTCTGGCGTGGTAGACTTTGGCGAATGTGCCTTGGCCTAACAAACGGCCTAGCTCGTATTTCTGCATCAGAATGGTTCCTTTCTTCTCCGTTTGTTCTGAATCCATCGGGGTTGCAGAGGACGGAATTATGGGTTTCAAGGTTGAGATTTTGGGGAGGAGGAGGAAGGTGAGGAAGAAGATGGAGGAGGAGGAGGAGAATTGAGTTATACGGAAGCTAACGGATTCACAGGATTGTGCCGAAGTCAGTTATTTTCCTCTATTTGTAGAAAATCAGTATATAGATATTACGATTCAGTTTGGTTTTCAGCCCTCGTTTTCTTCTGCCTTATAAAATTTTATCAGACAAAATAAAGGTATAACATTTCGTTAAGTGCAAAAGAATTAAGTAAATTGGCTCTCGTTGGCTCGTTAGAGGTTGAGTATGTCTCAAGGCAACGAGAGGCGTTTAATACAACTGGTCAAGTGAATTATGGGGTCTTGCATTTAGATATTAGAATATGCAATTACATTAAATAAATATAATAAAAACATTCTCAAGTTATTTATGAGAGCTCCATTAGTAATATCAATCTCACATAACAGATTTCGAATTGATCTAAGTGAAAAGTAATAATATCTCAAGTTTTTTAAATTAGCAAGCAATGAAAAAAAAAAAAGTATAATTCATTCGTACAACCATGCAAGGTATTTTGTGAAGAATTAAGATATTAAAAAATATAAAATATTTTTAATATTTTAAAATATAATTATTGTTTTTTTTCAAAAGCATTCATGTTAAATAAATTATTTTATATTTACTTTAAAGTAAAACACCTTATAAAATAAAGGTGAATATAAAAAGATGATATTAATTTAAAGATAATCAATTATTTTATTAAAAGTGAAATTTGATTCAAAATGTCTTATATTATTAAATTGAGAGAATATGTCTCAAGCTCAAAAATCATTAATAAAATTACCTATGATCAAACATGTGTCTTGATAGAATGAGAATTATATCCATGCAATTTTTTTTTGTTACAAACAAATGTAATAAAGTTACACATAAGCCTTTAATATGAGCACATTTTTAAATAAGAATTTAAATATTAATTCATCACTTTATAAAAAATTAACTTTTTTTATTTTTTGGCATTTGGCTTTTGGTTTTTCAAAGTATCCTTATAGTTGCAGCTATAAAACTAATTTCTCCATATATTTGAGTGCTATTTAAGCACTTATTCTTTCTCAAGTGATATTCTTTTACAACAATCAACTTGTTGGTTTGCAATTTTTTTAATAAGAACACATGGATGCAATTTTTTTTTGGGTGCAATCATCCATGCAATTTTTATTAACAAAGTCATAATATGTTTTTTTACCCAAAAAAAATTATAATATGTTGTTGTAAGTTGCAATGAAAGATGACACATGTTGCTGTACTTAATACACACGCACACTCTTTAGAATATAAATTTTAAATATAAGTCTACTTTATTATATTTAAAGCAAATGTTTGACATGTATATTTTTAAATGTTTGTAAGAACGATGTAAATAGATTAATGTTAATATTTCGGCACATGCAATTTTTGGGGTGCCTATTATTTTGCTTACAATATATTTTGGGGAAAAAAGAAAAGCTAAGAATTAATGTTTATATGGTTGAAAACAGAGGTACACAGAATAGATTTTCATTTTATTAAAAAAAAGATTTTCAAAATCAAATAAGAAAAAAACTTGTAGATAAAAACAAATATTCTAGGTTCACTAAAATAATAAACATTGTTTTATTTACATGTTTGTTGTGAAGCAACATGCATGTTCAAGTCTCACACACTTACAGACAATATATAACTTCTTGTAAATGTCATGAAATAAAAAATTAACTAAGACTCTTGGAGTTCCGGAATACTTCCTATGTTGGTTTTGATTGGCTCTCCTCTTCTTTTTTCCCTCTAAATTTTCTTTTATTTTAAAGTTTAAAGACATTTTACAAATTTAAATTCAAACGTTAAAAAATCTAAATTCATTAACGTTATTTTTTTAATAAAAATTCCAATAAGTACAATAAAATGTTAAAAAAGAAAAGTTAGATAATAAAAGTATGGATAAACATAACTTTTGATCCCTGTACTTTACTCACATTTTGCTTTTGATTCCTATATTTTTTTTCAATGTTTTAAGTTTATACATTTTTGTTTTTCATTATTTTCGGTTCTTCTAAAAGTAAAGTGTAGGAACCTTAGAAGGATCTAAAAAAATAAAAAATAAAAATGTAAAGATTTAAAATATAAAAAAATATAAGAATTAAAAATAAAATATAAATAAAGTACATGATTAAAAGTTATATATATATTTTTATTCTAAAAGTATTTAAGGGAGACAAAGGAGGAGTGAAAGTATCTAATGAATACGTGTTGCCGTACCAAAAAAATAAACTTCTCGTCGAATGGCTGAAGAAGATACACTATGTCAAACATAGAGTCTAAGCTTTTGGCGAATAGCTCCCAACTTTATCCCTTGACTTAGTTCAGAACCGGAGAAAATGAAAACACCCAAGGTCATTCAAAATTCAATTTCAACCATTGCAATATTGATGAATCCAATGAAGTATACTAGGAATACATGCAAAAGAAAATTCTAGTGATTTCAAAAATGGAGATTTCTTAAAGATTATGCCCTGCAAGAAAACTCCATTTAATTTAATTATTCCTCCTGCTATGCTATGATGATTGCTTTATTTTTCTCTTAAACTTTTGGCATTTTATCTTCCATGAATGTGTTGGAGTGCTAAATCTGATTAGAGCCCTCAAAACATTTTGATCTACTATTCGCAATTTCAGAAAATAACTCTTAACTTTACTAATAAAAGCAGGTGCTTTTGAAATAAGAGTAGAGTTCAAACTGCAAACCATTTTAATGAAGGCAATTTGATCCTTAAATTCTTGTATGACTTAATCGAGAGTAATTGTGATTGCCTCATGCAGAACTAGAGTTTTTTTTTATGCCAAATTAGACGAATCAAAGTGAAAATACTATCAAGGAGGTAAAACTCCTTGTCCTTGACCAAGGCATCTGTAATCTGTAATCTTCCTGAAGCCACGTAAAAAACCTTATTCAGCTAAAACAAACAGAAAGAGATAGAAAGAACACCCAATCAAATAGCCCTTGTGAAAGGGAATTCACAAAAAGTGTTGAGGAGAGTCCAAAACCTCACAAGTCACAGCCAAAATGACAAAACAAAGATGAATTTTTTTTTTACCAAAAATAAAGTTGAATTAATAACGTTAATTCTTTTGGTGCAAAGGTTCAGCGCAATGCTCTTTAATTATATATGGCATTAATTCCCATCATAAAATATTTAAAATAAATTTAGATGTAAATCCATGCACTTGCTTGGTAAAAGCCCCGAAAAAAACTACATGCATTTACATGCAATAGAAATTTTTTCATAAAATTATTCAAAATTTGAAGAACCGACAAATTATTGACAATAACAAATATAACAACAAGCGCATGAATAAATTATAAAATAAAAAAATATCTGTAAGTCCTTATAATTTTTTTTAATTTTAAATTAGATTCTTGTAATTTATTTTATTTTAATTGAATCCTTATAATTTTATCAATTAATTTTTTTAACACCTGAAAATTCACATTCTTGAATTTTTTTGAAAAAATTAAGAACTTTTATTTTTTATTAAATGATTACATAACTTTAGAATTAATTACATGATTTTTATAACTCAAAATTTATACAATTAGGTTATCTTTTAAACATTTTTATACTTATAGAATTTTCATTAAAAATTAATAAAAAATTTAAAATTTTCATTACATCATTTTAATTTTGGCTGAAAGAATTAAATTAAATTTTCTACAAGCTATAAAGCATTTTTGTTTGGAAAATTTAATTCTTCACTATTAATTTTAACATTCAAGGATTAACATATTTAATAGATCAAACTATAAAAACTTGATTGAAAAAAAATAAATTACAAGAATCTAATTCAAAATTGAAAAAAATTATAAGGACCTGTAGATTAATTCTCTGTCACAAAATAATAGTATTTCTCATCAAATTTTTATATAAATTATTGACATTTCAAACATTTATATAAAGTATATAAATAATCGTTGTTATTTTCTTTTTATTTGTGATGGTTAATTTTTTTTAACCATTCTATTCATTTCCTATCTATTTTTACTATCAACATAAATACTTTTCCATTCATCCACCAATAATTAAATTCCCCATAAATCCGATCTATACTCATACCAAATTAAAGCAAGTAATTCTTGATTTTCCAAAAGGCACAACAAGTCAATATTATAGTTATTATTGTTATATTAAAATTTTTTTAAATGTTATTTCTAATAGATGAGTGTATAACAAAATTCTCTTAAAAATTTCATTGCCAATTTGAAATCTTGTTAGTATAAGATATATATATATATATATATATTACATCAATGTTCATTGAATTGGGAGACACGTTTTGGTCTAGATGAGTTTTTGGGATTTAACTCATCTAAATTTTTTCCTTAAAAACAATTTCTTTTAAAAATATTTGTTTTTCCTTTTGAAAAATTGACTAATAAAAATATTTTTATTTTTATTTAACATAAAACAAGAAGTGTAAGAAAATAAGGGTAGTGGTAAGCAACAAAATTCACAATAATTCCAACTCTTAAAACTTGAGGGTGACAGATGTATAATGTCTGGCTCTTAAGCTGCCAACTTCATTTTCAGTTTCTGAGCTTTCTTCATCAATTAAAACTGTGCCCCCCCCCCCCCCCACCAATAATCAAACCAAAAATAATTAATGCTTGCTTATATAATGTCAAGTAGATTCGGATTCGTTTAGAAACAACTGAAAGGAGCAATTTTCTTAAATCTACATTTTAAGCATCGATCAATGTACTCTTTGAATTAATGACTTGATTACTGATTCTTCTGGTGTATAACTTTATAAAGTTTATATTTTATAATTTTTCTAAAAACTATTTTACATTAAAATATTTTTTATTTTGTGTCCTAATGTTATTAAAAAAAATAAAATTGCAAACATTGATATACAAAAAGAAAATGGTAAAAATCTATTATTATGCTAACAAAATCATTATACTATATATATATATATATATAAATGTATATAAACACTCAACTACCAAAAGTTTTATGTTCTCTTTATTGCACACATAAAATAATATAAATAATATTTTATTAATTTTAAATCAAATTGATTGTTTTAAAAAAATTTAATTTTTTATAATTCCAATATAAATATTGTTTCTGGCCAGGTAAATGAATCTCAACTTTAAAAATGAATAAAAATTC